CCCTATTTGCTATCCAACCGTAGCAGAGATCAAATGCATTGAAATCGCGGTCTGGCGCGGCCTGGCTGAGCGCAACGAGGCTGCCACGGCCGCTTAAATCGGTAGGAGAATCGCGCTCCTGGCCTCGAAAACAGACATAGCACGTCCGAGACGGGTACTGAAGCAATGGGTCCGATGCCGAACAGCAGGCGTTGCCTAGAACCGACAGCGGCCACTGCTGGATAAGCGACCTCTAGCCTCAAGTGCATAACGTCCGCGGCAACACCGACGGCGAGTCCTGTACCGAATGGGCAACAATTTGGGGATCCCAGCACGGTGCGCTGGCAGACCGTGTGGTGACCTCGAGCTCCCAAGGCACCTCACCGCGCAGTCCGCTACCGCAAGGTTTGAGGACCTCAGAGGCCCCAGTCGCTCAGGACGTCCTCGGAGAACGACCCCAGGTCCCAAGACCATGCGGCCACACCCGAATCCCCACTGAGTCACCACACGGGGAGGCCACGGGTGAGGCCTCAGGCTGCGCGCAGACGAGCTCCCCAGAAAGTCCTGGCTGGCCCCAACAGACCCACCCGAGTAGCCTGGGCAGTCGCAACACCACAACCCTTGGGCGCGGAGCACCCCAGGGGCGCCGCCAGAGAGGCGGCGCCCGGGTGTCGAGACCGCCCCCATCAACTGCTCGGGGGGCCTGTCGAGGCCCGCTGGCGCTGTCTGGGGGGGGGCCTCCGCCCGAAGCCCGCAGCCCTGCCAGCGGCCACCACACGGCGTGGCCACCGCCACCCTCTTGGGGGACTCCCGACGCGGCCGCTGCCGACCTCCGCCCCCGCTCCGCACCGCACCCCGCTCCCGGTCGCACCGCACAGCGCCAGACGCTCCGCGCCCCGCCGGCCCCCGGCCTCGACCGGCGACTCCGAGGGGCGTGGCTTGCCACGTGCACCCCGGGGGGAGCGGGCGAGGGCCTCGACAGAGGCCTCCGCCACGCCCCGGGGAGGCGCGACGAGAGCACCGCGGTGCCCCCCCCCCCCGCCCCGACGACGCAGATCGCAAACCACACCCCGGCGTGACCACGCCTCGTGTTGAGCCGGGGCCGACGATCCCCGCATTCCTATGGGCCTACAACGGAATGCTCTTAGCACCCAGCAGTGTTCTTAGAACGCAGACCCGATGTGTTGAAATGAGACAGCGCCGGGCAGAAGTATTCCAAGAACATGTCGTGCAAACTACAAAAGGTCCTCAGAACATTTTCTGGGTGGGCCTGCAGGCGAGCCGTGACGCCTCGCCACTGCTTGCTTCTGTGCGGCCGCCGACTCGAGCCCAGGGACCTGCGGGCGCGCCGGCCAGCGGCCGGGCCTCCCGCCTCCTGGCTGCCCAGCGGCCCCCCCTGGCGGTCGCCCATCGCTCACGCGAGGGCGAAGGGGGCCAGGGAGTCGAGGGAGGACATCGCCGGCGCGTACATGGGCGAGAGCAGCTTCGGCTCCACCGCCCCGCGCCGCGCGGCCGCGGCCGCCCGGCCCGGCGGCGCCGTGCGCTCGCCGAGCCGGGCCTCGTCGTAGGATTGCTGGTGCCGGGCGGCCGAGCCCGCGAGGTGCTCCGTCGCGGCGGCGCCGCCCCTGCCTGGCCCCAGGGCAGAGGAGCAAAGCGTCGGCGGTGGACAAACCTCCCTTTCGTGAACCTCCCCTTAGTGAAAGCGGCCCGGGACCGGAACCGACGGACCTGGACCCGCAAACATGACGGCCGCGAAGCCCTCTCGCGAACCGAAAAGGGCCGATTCGCTAATCGACGTGTCAGGGTAGGAGGTCGATCCACCCCCAAGCAGCATTTCTCGGAGGTTCGCGCGCGGAGTTCTCGGATCGGCGCCGGATTCCCCCATCCCCTGGCGGGGAGCGCGCCAGGGGTGGCGCTGGGAGCGCCGCCAAGGGGGGCCCTGCGCCGATCCAAGAAGTCCGCGCGGACCTCCGACAATCCGATCTGATGAAATCTTTTCTCCCTTGACCGTGGTAGCGCGACGGGCTCACGTAGGCCGCGCTCGGGAGGTTCTGGCAGTTGTGCGCCCAAGTCGCGGCCACGCTCTGCTCGCCGCAGCCGCCAGCGATGCTGTTGAGCTCCGGGGAGCCGTAGGCCCCAGTGGCCTGGCCCTGCTGCATCCACGCGTCGACCAAGTCGCTGTCGTGGAATCCCTTGAAGATGTGCGCCAGCTCCGCGTACAGCGCGGGAGAGCCCGCCTGGCCGGTCTCCTTCATCTTGTGGAGGACCTTCGCCAGGTCCGAGCACAGGAGGTTCGCGTTATCCTGCAGCTGTGCGCCCTCGTGCCCCGGAGCGGCTTCGAGGGCCGCCGCGCCACGGGGCTGCTTCCTGACCCCCGACAGTGGGCCTGCATGGTCCCTGCCGCCCGCTGGCACGAACGGGTGCCTCCGGAGCTCCTGCCTGGTGTGGGCGAACTTGCAGCTCGGGTCGCTGCACTGCCCCGTGCCGAGCAGCTCCTTGCACAGCTTCGTCTGGGAGAGGTCCGGCAGCGGGTTCATGTCGAGCCTCCCGTGCGCGAAGCGGCACATCTCCCCCCGCGTGCACATGCCGAGCTGGTTGAACTTGCACATCTTCGTCTTGTGGAACAGGGCCGGCTGCCGCGGCTTCTCGTCCTCGCGGTCCTGCCTTTCGAGGGAGAGACAGCAAGCACAAGCCCAGCATGAACATTCGGAGGTCCACGCGGACGTCTCGACTCGGGGAGGGGACCCCCCTCCCTGGTGCGCGCAGCGCGCCGGGCGCGGCGCCAGAGGCGCCACCAGGGGTGTCCAAGATCCACGCAGATTTCAGACACTTTGTGCATATGGCCGCGTCCATTTCGTAGCGTGGCCAAGCACACACCCGCGTTCGCGGGCATGCTCTGTGACCCATCTCGAGAGCCCTCGGGGGGAGCCCTCGGGGGCCCAGCGGGGCTGATGTGACCCCGTGGTTGGCCTCGTGACCCGCCGTGCCCCCACGGGGCCCTGTGACCCCGTGTCGGCCCTGACCGCCGCTCCAGCACAGAGCACTGGGGACACGCACGAAATTGACGGCGGCACGTGTCTGTGCAGCTTGCGGTTCTCTCCCATCTGCCTGTCGCTCGCCCCCTCTGCCGGCGCCCCCTGCTTGCCGGCCCCCGTCGGCGCGGCTCCTGCCGTCTGCACACGAGGAGCGGCCCTGGGCAAGCGCGGCCTTCGGTGCGCGGCTTCCGGGGGGGGCGCAACTCCGAGCGCGCCGGCCGCTGCTGTCTCATCAGCGCGCTCCGCGAGCGGGGAGCCCCAGGGAGCCCGCACCAGAGATGCTGGCGGAGGGCCACTCTCATGTGCAGCAAGACCGGACCAGGATAGGGACAACATCAGACAGGGATCCATCGGGAATCTCTGAGAAACGGCGGCTCCGGAGGAGGCTGTGCAGAGCGCCGTGGCCTCCTGAGAGCCTGAGAGCGCTCTCCAGAACGCTGTGGAACAGCCTGCCCCTGTCCTCGTCCCGCCCCACTCTTTGGACGCCCAAAAGGGGTACAGAAAAAGTGGGCACGATGCCCAACGCTCGCCATCGCTCGGACGTCATGCCCCGTGCATCTCTTTCGGCTTCGTGCGTGGGTGTTGTTTTTGTTGTTGCGTTTTTTGTTTTATCCTTTATATCGCAAGATGGCCTAAATTGAGGAACCGAACTTTATACACCGATGCTTTTTCCGGTCCCGCACTGAGATCCGCACAAGAAACCGGATTCTGGTGTATACAGCATCCTGGTGTATACATTTTTTGTTGTTTCCACGGGAAAACAAGGAAAAACATATACACCACACCACCCCGACGTCGTCCCCGACCCTCAAGAAATCCGGGGATTGAAAAACAGCCCGCCACTGGTAGTGTATACGTTCCGGTTTCCGATACATGGCTCTTCGATGGTCCTGGCCGAGAAAGGGGTGGCACACGCCCGAGCGATGCCGGGTGTCCCGCGGCAGCAGCTGCTCCTCCTGGGCGGCCCGCGCCCCCGCCGAGGCCCGGCGGCGGCGGCGGGGGCGCGGAGGAGTCCGTGCTGCTGCCGGAGCCCTCCGAGGTGCTGCTGGTGGCCCCGCGCGCGCGGCGGCGCGGCACCGCGGGCCCCCTGCCGGAGCTATGGGTCGGGCGTGTCCTCCGATCGACCGCGCGCGAGAGCGCCGCTGGGCGAGAGAGCGGCCCCTGGCGCGCGGCTCTCCAGGGGGGGGGCGGCGCGGGGTGGCCAGGCCCGGGCGCGCAAGCCGCTGCTAGCGCACTGCGTTCGGCGATCGGGGGGCCCCTTTTTGGGCCCGCACCAGAGGTCACTCTGGCGAAGGGTCACTCTTACATGTGGTCGATCCTACAGGCGGACTTTGGAAGAAATGTAAGACTTAGAACAAATCAGAAATGGCCAAACGAGCAGGGAAGATCGTCAGCAGACTAATTTTTCCTATTTTTGGAGATTCCTTCTGTAGAGGGACATACACGACTTGATGCTAGAGGCCTTCTGGATTGTGTCCGAGCAGGTGGGGCTTGGAGGATTGTGTCGAGACCTCTGGGAGGCCGACGTTAGGAAAAGATCATGGCGTCAACGCGGAACGATGCTTCCAGTCCGACCGTTTTTCTTCGATCTCGGCCTCTGGGGGCCATTCTCAGGGCCCAGGAACATCAAGCATGGGTCCGGGACGAAAAACTACCCCAAGGGAAGGGGTTGAAAGCTCTGCGGCAGCGGATGGGAAAAATCAGGGCATCGCATGTCTGGGCCCAGACAGCCGACGTACCCGTCGGTCGGAAGAAGTGGGTATAAGCATGAAGTAGGAAGGCGCTGGAAGCAGATTGGGTGTCCGCCCGCCCCCTGAAGGGGAGGGAGGAGGGACAACCACTCGACCCTTGAGATAGGAAGGCGGCTAAGGTAGATTGGGGGCTGGGGATCCAGACCTACCAACTTTCAACGATCGGCGTGTACATCGGCGATGCATCGGCGACGTCGGCGGTGCATCTGTGACGTCGGCGTGAAGCAGCACTGGATCTGCATCGAGCCGTATGGCCGATGCATCGGCGCTGCGGAGCGATCCTCCGACCCCATCTGCTTGGACCCCATGTGGGAGGCCCAGACCTGCGGGGCTTGCTGGCAGGCGGCGGGCTCGTCGCAGTCATTGCCATCGGCGGCTGCTGGCGGGTGTCGCGTGCGTCGGGTCGGGCGAAGGGGAAGGCCAAGACGGTCGGGAACTTTTGCTCAGCGTGTCGCAGCAGCGGCCCCTGCGACACGCTATGCCTTGCGAGCGGACAGCGTTCCACAGCTCGAACAGTAACTACTCGCAAAGTAACTTCAAATTACCCACTCGACAAGCGTGTTCCACTGCTCGCACGGTAGCTACTCGCAAATGGCCTGGATCCGTCGCGGGGACGGGGCACGATCCATCGCTTCGAGGCACAGCTGTGTTTTTTGACGTTTGCGAGTAGGCACTCTGCGAGTGGTGAGACGCCCTCGGTTAGGCAAGGGAGGGCTCGCGAATCGGCACGCATAGCTGGTTTGCCTGGCGCGTCCTGGCGCCAATGCGTACGGTCGGAACCTCTGCTTAGCGTGTCGCCGCGGCGGCCCCAGCCACCCGAAATGCCCTGCGACCGGATAGCGTGTCGCTCCGCTCCGCGGGCCAGGAGGCTCGCACAGGCTCGGGACGCTGGCGCTTGGAGAGGGGGACGTGGACGACGTGCCGCGCCGAAGCGCGGTGGGCCAGAAAGGCCGGCGCGACACGCTGAATCAGAGTGTCTGGCCGTAAAGGGAAGGGTTAGCGGCTCCGCTCGCGCAGCTGTTCTTCCCGGCGCCTCCCAGCGCCAGCGTGTGGAGGAGAGCGCCCGACGGCGGGGCCGAGACCAGCTGCGTGTAACAAGTCTCGTACTCCCCCTCTCGTCCGCCCCCCGCGAGGCTGGAACAACTGGAGCCCAAACGGCTACTGATGGATCGCATCGTCCTTGCTCGGTCCTGCTTCAGTGCCGCAGGGGGGCGTCCGCGGTTGCTTGTCTGGGACGTCAGCGGTGCTTGCAGCGCCGTGTAGGGATCTCGAGCTTCTTGTCGAGCTTCTTCCTGAACTGCCCTCTGCTTGTCTTGTACTGCTATGCAAATGTTCTCTGCGGTGGACTGCGAGGCCCTCTCTTCAACCTGTGTACATTTTGGCGCTTCCTCGTCGTCCTCAAGTGTGGCTCCAACCTGAACCAGCATACTCGTCCCCTGCCCGAGATGCTCATCGTCCTCCTCCTCCTCTGCGCCCCCCCCCCCACACCCCAGGAGCTGCCAGGAGGGAGGAGGAATAGGAGGAGGAGGAGCAGGAGGAGCAGGAAGAAAACTGCGAAGCGGAGAGCGATTGAGGCGTGTCAGTGGCAGTGCGCCCAGAGCGGCCACGCCGAAAAAAAAAGCCGTTTTACCTTCACCTCTTACTTCCATACCATGCCCTCAACGTATACATCCGTTTCTTTTTCTACCCGTTCAGATATCAATTCCTCAGGTCACTAAGGCCACGACGTCGGCATCCAGCCCGGCTTAGCACCGCCGACAGCAAGAACAGCGAGCAGCAGCACGAGTACTACTACGAGTCGCCGCAGCGCGTGAACTCCTCGATCACGACACCCAGTACCAGCTCGACTCAGCTCGGCAACTTCTTGCAGCGCACGGTAGCGCTCAACAGCCACCATTGCTTCCACCTCACGTCCCAGCAATGGCGACATCATGGGGAATAATAGCGAGCGGATCGGTACAGTGCGGGCGCGGCCGCAAGAAACCCTCGCAAGAAACCCAACCCTGAAAACCCGCGCGCGAAGTACATCTGAGGGGAAGCCAAGGGCACCCTGAGCGCAGCAGCTTCTTTGACGGCTGCGGGAAGCCACCGCGCAGCGTGCGGAGGCGAAGGACCGCCCCGACAGGTACTGCAGCCAGACCTGCAACGGGAAGGGCAACAGCCACAGTGGCAAGGGCAACGCCACGAAGAGCGACCACGAGGCCGACAACCAGAGCCAGAAGGGCAATAACAAGAACAACGAGGGCGAGGGTAAGGCAAAACCCAACCCGAACAAGACAAATCACCCAACAAGAAGGACGCGACCCAGGACTACAACGACCACATCACCAACACCATCAGCAAAGCCATGACGATGAGCAAGATCTACGTCACCTGTAGACCTGACTGGGATTTGCTATCAAACGACCCCGAGCTCAAAGAAGAGTGAAGTCATATCAAATGCATCGAGCAGAGGCGTGCCGCAACGGCCATCGCGAGGAACAGCGCAGCAGGCTTACCTGCGACCGACACAGTCACGCAGATCGCCTTCAACAAAGCCATGATCCTCAACAGCATATCCCTAGCCCGACAAGCAAGGGACATCGGTAGCACCAAGAGGACCATGGAGGACTTCTGCGGGAACACCAGAACCCACCAGCACTATAGACAGATTTCCATGAAGGAGCTGGAGATCAACGTTGAGGGGCTCAACGTTTTGCAACGGGACATCGACGACGCAATGGACGACAACCACGGCGAAATGGGAGCTGCCAAGGACGAATCCGACTAACCACAAAAGGAAGGTCAAAGAAGACGCCTACACCAGCACTACTGAGACAAACAAACACTGGAGAAACCAGCGAGGGACAGGACATCGGCACGCTGCTCAGGACGCTCAAGGAGGACAACCACCGCTTGACAGCAGACATCAAAAAGAAGAAAGAGGAGGCCACCAACGAAGTCTATTCCCTCAGGAAGCACCTCCGAGAAACAGAACAGAAGCAGCAACTCAGGAACACGCAGAGAAGCAACACAATCAAGCAACATACACCAAATACTACCAGACGGAACTCACAACACCAAGCTCACCACCGAGAAGATGGATGCTCATCATGAGTTTCTACAGGCGAGAAGCCTAGCAACCCTCAACAAGACAATGGAGGAGCTTCACGCTGTCAGGGACTCTTCCAAGGTGAACCACTCCAGCGAGATGACCATCGAGCTGCAGAAGGGGCTGACAGAAGCACAACTAAGACTCATCGACAACAACAAGGACCGCATCATCATTGAGCAACAACTACTGGAAACGCAAAGGAATGCTGCAGAAAGCAACGTAACCATCCGCAGCGAGAGGGCCGAGGAGAAGCCAGAATGCAAAAAGCGTATGAAGAGCTGCGGGCACAACAGATAACCACTGACACACCGATACGTCGTGCACGCGACGAACACCAGCAACTGGTCTACAACACCGAGCGCCAGGCCAGAAGAGGGGGCGCTGAGCGGACACGGCAGCAACAAAGCTACCTACTATGTTCAATGGAAAAAATCCAATCCAAAAAAATCCCCGGACAACCCTCCGGACAACCTGGACAACCCTTCCGATGCTGACACCATAAGCGTCCCAGCATAGAACTCTGGCCAGCAGTCGGGCGATGCACCATTCCCAATCATGCATGTGGTTGGGCATGGGAGGATGTCTCAAGTAAGGCTAGCTCGACCACCTCATGCCGAGGCGTCCCTGAGCCCCGAGCTGCTAATGTACTTACCGACATGAGCGAGCACGGGCACTGGGCGCACCACGGATTCCTGCAGGCCGCGGGGCAGGTACAACTCGCGATGCAGAGGGCCGGCGGGGGCACAGCAGAACAGCAGGATGCACTCCAACGCGAGGAGGAGGAGGAGGAGGAGGAGGAGGAGGAGGAGGAGGAGGAGGAGGAGGAGGAGGAGGAGGAGGAGGAGGAGGAGGAGGAGGAGGAGAGAGGAGGAGGAGGGGAGGAGGAGGGAGGAGGAGGAGAGGAGGAGGAGGGAGGAGGAGGGAGGGGGGAGGGAGGAGGAGGGGGAGGGGGGGAGGAGGGGAGAGGAGGGGAGGGGTATGAGGAGGAGGAGGGGTAGGAGGAGGTGGAGGAGGAGGAGGAGGAGGACAAGGAAGGGGAGGGGGAGGACAAGGAAGGGAAGACAACCGCAGCAACAGCGAGAGAGCGCCTCAGCAACGTGGAGATGGCTGGCGCCGCCGAGCAGGCCCTCGACGCGAGCATCCCCATCGACGACGAGGAGCCATAGCAAGTCAACCACGTGGAATATGGGGAGACACAGCCTACCCAGAGTCAGAGCGACGAGATGACCAGGGAGGCCGCCATTTTCGGAGCACTTGCATCACAACCTGAAGCACCAGAGCCAAGACTGTACCACCCCTCCACACCGACGCGACCACCGCGTCTGTTTGGCGGCCCCAGAGCCATGAAGAGCCACACCGAGGCCGAAATTGACATAAGACCTCAAGATTGAGAAATTCAATCCGGCTGATGTTTGGGCAAGAGGAGGAAGTTCGTCGAGGACGAAGAAGACTGGCCGTCCCAAAACGGTGTGGTGACAGACCGTGCGGTGACCTCGGAATCCGCAAAGACCTTACCGCACTGTCTGTCACCGCACAATTTGGGACCTGAGGCCCCAGTCGCCCGAGACGTCTTCGGGGAACGGCCCAGATCCCAACACCGTGCGGCCACACCTGCATCCCCACTGACTCGCCACACGGTGTGGTCACTGGTAAGGCTTCAGGCTGCGCGCAGGCAAGCTCCCCAAACAGTCCCGGTTGGCATCACCAGACCACCCCGAGTAACCCCGTGCGGTCTCAACACCGCAACTCTGGGGCACGGAGCGGCGCCAGAATGTTAAGACCGCCCCGGACTACCCGGGGGGTCTATTGAGGCCAGCTTGGAATATCTAAGGGGGGCTGTCTGTGCGCAGCCCGAAGCCTTGCCAGTGGTCACCGCACCGCTTGGGGCCCCCCGAAGAAACGCAGCAGGAGGAGGAGTCCAGTCGCCCAAGACGTCCTCGCAGAACGACCGAAGTCTCCAGACCGTACAGCCACCGCGAATCCCCACCCCAGACATGCGATGCCATGATTTTTCAATACGGGGTCCCTGAACGTCCCCACCCTCCTCTTGGGGCGGGTTCTTCATCCCGAGTGTCGTTTTTCGACTGCCCTGGGGCGGCGGAGGCTCCCAGGGGGCTGAACACGGCCGGAAATCTCCTGTCGTGCTCCTTTCCTTCGCGAGGCGAGCAGGTCTGGGGCCCCCGAAGGAGAGCAGGAGGAGCTCAGTGTCGGGGACCTGCTCGCCCAGGTCAACCCAAACTCGGGCCAGTGAGGCCTTGCAGGATCCTGCAAGGCCCTGCAGGATCCTGCACCCAAGCCCGGGCCAGTGCAACCCTGGCTCGGGTCGGGCGAAAGGGGGGGATAGCAAAGGGGGGGTTTGAGAATCAGCTCACGCAGCTGATTTTCCCGGCGCCTCCCGGCGCCGGAGGCGGCCATGTATCGAGGAATGGGCCCCTCGGTGAGGCCGAAACCAGCTGCATGCAGCAGATTTCGTAACCCCTCCTTTCCCAAACCCCCCCTTTCGCCCGGCCCGACGGGCTCTGCAGGGTCCTGCAAGCTCCGGCGCCCTGGCTGACCCCCGCTTGCATTGCCCCCCCGCCCCTTCGGCCACACGCGGGAGGGACCCCGGGCAAGCACGACCCTCGGCGCGCGGCTTCCAGCCGCGCCCCCCGTCAAGCCGCTTACCGGGGGGCGCGGGGGGGCCAAGCCTGGGCGCGCAGGCCGCCGCCACCGCTCCGCGTCCAACGATCGGGGGACCCCACTGGGCACGCACCGAGCCCAGCCCCCCGACGTCGTGCTCTGTTCACGACGTCGCCCCTCTCAGAGGGCTGGGCCCCTTCTCCGGGACCCGGTTCTGCATCCTGAGTCGTTTTGTCCCGGCCCCGAGGCCTGGGAAGGGCCCCCCTGGAGGCCGAAAATGGTGAAGAACCTCCCGCCGTGAATTCTTCGCAGCGCGAGGGGGTCTGGGAAGGTCACTCCGGCGAAAGGTCACTCTTACGTCTGGTCGACCTCTTGAGCCCCCGACAGTGGACGGCGTCGTCGTCGTCGGCGTCCCTATCGGCGTCGTCATCGTCGTCATCGTCGTCGTCGTCGTCGCTTCGTCGTCGTTGTCGTCGTCGTCGTGGTGGTGGAGGTGGTGGTGGTCGTCGTCGTCGTCGTCGTCGTCGTCGTCGTCGTGGTGGTCGTCGTCGTCGTCGTCGTCGTCGTCGTCGTCGTCGTCGTGGTCGTCGTCGTCGTCGTCGTCGTCGTCGTCGTGGTGGTGGTCGTCGTCGTGGTCGTCGTCGTCGTCGGCGGCGTCGTCGGCGGCGTCCCCGACGACGAAGGCCCCGCCGCGGCCTGGCGTGCCCGGGCTCCGCGGGCCCCGCGCTGGCCGCCCCCGCCCCGCAGGCGAGCTCCAGCTCGGCGGCGCGCCTCTCGGAGGCCTCGCGGGGCATCTCTTGTTGGGCTTCGCGCGGGGCCCAAAGCCTCAGCTCGAGGGCCCCCCTCCCCCTCCCCCTCCTCCTCCTCCTCCCGCTCCTCCTTCACCTCCCTCCTCCTCCTCCCCCTCCTCCTCCTCCTCCTCCTCCCTCCTCCTCCTCCTCCTCCTCCTCCTCCTCCTCCTCCTTCCCCTCCTCCTCCTCCTCCTCCTCCTCCTCCTCCTCCTCCTCCTCCTCCTCCTCCTCCTCTCCTCCTCCTCTCCTCCTCCTCCTCCTCCTCCTCCTCCTCCTCCTCCCCTCCTCCTCCTCCTCCTCCTCCTCCTCTCCTCCTCCTCCTCCTCCTCTCCTCCTCCTCCTCCTCCTCCTCCTCCTCCTCCTCTCCTCCCCTCCTCCTCCTCCTCCTCCTCCTCCTCCTCCTCCTCCTCCTCCTCCTCCTCCTCAACCTCCTCCTCCTCTTTTTCTTCCTCCCCCTCCTCCTCCTCAACCTCCTCCGTGGGTCTCCGAGGCTGCCTGGCTGCGTTGGAGCTGCGTCCCATGCCCCCCGTCCTCGTCCCTGCAGTGGCCGTCCCGTCCGAGCTCTGCCGTCGCTCGGGCGCCCCTTCCCCGTGCCCTCTCCTGGTTTCGCGCGCTTTGTTCGCGAGACGATCCAGGGTGCTCCTCGAGGGCCCTCGCCGAGGGCAGAGGCGCACGCGTCCGAGAGCGGTGCCGAGAGGAGGGGGGGGGGCGACGGCAGAGGGGCTCTGCCTGCCTGCTCACCCGGCCCGGGTCTCCGCCGATCTGGCTTCTTCCGTGTGGGCGTGGTCCGCCATCTCGGCCCCTCGGGGCCGTCTGCGGGCCCTGGGGCGATCACTTCTTGCTTTTTGTGAGGAGGAGGAGGAGGAGGAGGAGGAGGAGGAGGAGGAGGAGGAGGAGGAGGAGGAGGAGGAGGAGGAGGAGGAGGAGGAGGAGGAGGTTGAGGAGGAGGAGCAGGAGGAGGAGGAGGAGGAGGAGGAGGAGGAGGAGGAGGAGGAGGAGTCGCGACAAACAGATCTCGACGCCTCGGATGTGACCGTAATGCAAGCCTGGGAGACGCCAGGCAAGCCCCAGACCACTACACAAGCCGACCTGCATAAGGCAAGCTCGTGAAGAGGACCTTGGCCTGGGAGAGAAAGCGGAGTAACCCAGGGCGATCAGAAATTGGCCTGGGACGAAGAATAACCCCCTGGGAAGGATTTGTCGGATGTCAGGGACTCTGGCTGCTTGCTGGCCAGAACAGACACCCCAAGCAATGCGGTGAACGGGCGCTGACCAACTGCGCACCACCGCACGAAGAGGAAGTTGTTGCGTTAGATAACCTTGACGCGCTGGCGCGCCACTATGCGCACATGGCCATGTTCGAACACCTTAGAAGCAAGCGGGTTGCTGCCAAGGCAATCGGGAGACATGTCGGCTGAATGCGTCCGTAGCGTGGGAGCCGTGAACTGTTTGTATGTATTTGTCATCCTTCAGCATCGCATTGAGCACAGCGCAGGCAAACAAGCGAAGACGATCACGATGGCGGACAACGATGAACATGATGATGGAGGTTGTTGATAAGTAGAAGCGATGACGACGATGATGGCGATGTTGACGGTAATGGTTGCTAGTTTGGTGACCTGAAGGGCCAGATGTTTCATCGACCCCTAACCGTCGAGGCGGAATGACATGCTACTCCCAATCCGATGGTACGGAGCGTGCGTGTTGTTGTCAATGGCAATAGAGGTGATGGCGATAATGATGGTGGTGAATCTGCTATTCATACTACTGAAGATGATGACGACAATGCTGGTGACGATGAGGAAAAGGACGACGAAGAAGACGAGGATGATGATGGCGATGATGATGCTGGTGATGTTCACGACTACGCCAGCGGCGATGATGATAATGGTGATGATGCCGACGATGATGGTAACGATGGCAATGATGATGATCATGACGATGATGATGGTGATAATGATGACGATGCTGATAACGAGGGCGATGAGGATATGTTTGTTGATAACGCGATGATATATAAATATAAATTAAGTATGGTGGTAGTGGTTATGATGTTAATAATAAGGATGAGGAGGATGAGGAGGATGAGGAGGATGAGGAGGAGGAGGAGGATTAGGATGAGGTTGTTGGTGATCCGCCACCGTGCCGCTGGGCACGGAGTGGGCGTGTCCTCTGGTTCTGGGCACAATCCTCTAAGCCCTCACTACTGAGGAGTATTCAAGGGGCCCAGACCCGCCATTTTCAAACCTCTTGGGGCTTGTCGCGTCTCTTCGGGGGCTTCTCGCGTCTTCTCGCGTGTCTCTTCTGGGCCCATGCGGGCCCCAAGATGGGCACAGACAGCCTCAAGAGGCCCCGAAGACAGCTCAAGAGACCCCGAGTCGCCTAACGATCGGTCCAAGACGCCCAGGATGGCCCTAATTAAGATGGTCCAAGAGGCCTCCATGACGCCCAAAGAGGCATCCAAGAGGCCTCCCGAGAGGGCCCCAAGAGGCAACAATCACTGATGTCCCATTTGTTTTTGGATGATTTCGGCATTCTCGCTTTTCCGGCTTCCCGACGCTTCATGACGGCCCACGAGGCCCTCACGATCGCCCCAAGGTGGCCCCAAAGGCCCCCAAGAGGGTCCCAAGACGGCCCAGGACGGCCCAAAGGCGGCCCCAAAAGGCGGCCCAAATGGGGAGCCCGAACAGAAATTTCGAGCCCTCGGCCCCGAGGGGCCCCCCAAGAGGCCCGAAGAGGTTCTCAAGAGGCTCCCAAGAGGCCCCCAAACTGCTCCCACGAGGCCCCCGAGAGCGCTCCGAAGAGACCCAAATAATCATGTGTGAGCATTCTGACCCACAACCCAGGCACGGTGGCGGGATGGGCCGAAGGCCATTTGATCCGCCGCCCCCTGCTTGCAGGGGTGCACGGCGTGCTGGATGATTCAGGTTTTGGTTTTGGTTCTTTTTCTAAAAGAACTCCCCAGTGGGCTTCGGCCCGTCCCGCCGGCCACCCGCGCATTTCCCAAAATGCGTCTGTCAATGCCCAAAAACGGCCGTTTCGCTCGGGACATCCTCAAAAAATCGCGAAGATGGGCCAAGATGGCCTCCAAGTCCGCCCGAGATGGTCCAAGACGGCCTCCAAAACGGCCCAAGAGAGTCCAAGACGGCCCAAGACGGCCCAAGAGGCACCCCAGAGGCCTCCCAGACGGCCCAAGAGGCCTCCAAGAGGTCCTCCAGGAGAGTCCGAAGAGGCCAAAATCATTGATTTTCCCTTGGTTTTTGAAGGATTTTGGCATTTGCGCCTTTTCGGCTCTCCGACGGCTCAAGACGGCCCAAGAAGCCCCCAAGATCGCCCAAGAGGCCCCCAAGAGAGCCCCATGATGGCCCAAGTGGCCTCCAAGATGGCCCCTAGAGGGCCCCAAGAGGGCCCAAGAGGCCTCCAACACGCCCAAGATGGCCTCCAAGACGCCCAAGATGGCCTCCAAGACGGCCCTGGAGCATTCCAAGCGGGCCCCAAGTCGGCCCATAGAGGCCCCCCAAACGGCTTCCGACGGCTTCAGACGTGCCAGGAACCCACCAAGATGGCCGAAGTTGGCTCGAAGCTGGCCCGAGACGGCCCAAAAAGCCCCAAAGATCGCCCAAAGCTTGCCCAAGAGGCCTCCAAGACGGCCAAGATGACCTTCAAGATGCCCACGTGTTCCCCGAAGGCTTTCCAAACCGATTCGGGGAACACGTGGTCCGATAGCTTGGCAGGTCTGGCCTCAACGTTCGGCCACATAGGCGCTTCCAAAAAGGCAGGGGGCGGCGGTGATTCGCCGTAGGCGTCTTCGATGATGATATCGGTGGGGATAACGGTGATGCTGATGCTGATGCTGATGCTGATGCTGATGATGATGATGATGATGATGATGGTGATGATGATGATGATGCTGATGCTAATGATGATGCTAATGCTGATGCTGCTGCTGCTGATGATGATGAGAATGATGATGTTGCTGCTGATGATGATGACGACGATGACGATGATGATGCTACTGATGCAGATGATGATGGCGAGGACGATGCTGATGCTGATGCTGCTGCTGATGCTGATGCTGCTGCTGATGATGACGATGCTGATGATGATGCTGCTGATGATGATGATGATGCTGCTAATGATGATGATGATGATGATGATGATGATGATGATGATGATGATGATGCTGATAATGATGATGATGATGATGATGATGATGATGATGATGATGATGATGATGATGATGATGATGATGATGATGATGATGATGATGATTATGATGATGATACTACTGATGATGATGATG